TTCCCCAATTTATCCTAGCTAGACTATAGCTTGAACAGTCGTAACAAATTAATAGCGCACTAACGTTTAACGTGGACATGGTTCCCTGGCTAGACTTGAACGTCTTCAATACGTGCACCGCGCTGGACAGCGTCGTCAAGTAGTATCCACCTTCGCCGGTGAGAAGAGAAGGATGAAGAAGACCCCACATGTATTCCGCCTCCACTTCGGCATCCACGACTTTACCCCGTACCAGGACCCAGACGAGAAGAGGTAAAAGGTCGTCTGCTCCCAAGGTCACGTGTCTTCCTGAATTTGCATGCTTCACCTGCAGAGGTATCATGGTTTGAATAAAAGAACCTTACAAATCAGCTGATCACCAGTGTTCCAGAAGACTTACCGAATTGAAGATGGCAGAAATGGCTGCTAGCAGGTTCTCCAGCTTATCCAGCGGCGAATCGGCTTTCTGGAGTCTGTCTATGTACTTGAGAATACGGTCCAGATTCGAGTCTGATGGGGGTATGATCTTTGGCTGCAAGTGGAGACGCTATTTTAGGAAGATTCTTTCGCTTCTCATTAGAATTCAATGCACTGTGTTTATGTACGTGATATTTGAACAGATCGAAGCTAAATCTAGGGTGCCTATCAATGAACTGCAACAAAAGCTATCTTCAATCCTGTGCAGAGGAGACCATCGCTTGACTCGATATTGTAAAATTATTTTACCGCTTGATTTGATGCAGTAAAACTACAAAATTTGAGATTTAACATTGAAATGTATATGATGCATCGATGTGTGAAATATTGGGATAAAAAAGCTTTCTCAATTCACTTGCGATTTCTCTTTGAGTTAATGTAAAAAAATGTCGTCTGTGTCTATTTAGAAAATGTTAAGTATTTCTTCCGAAATACTTCCGAGTGCAAAGGGTTAATATTCAGCGTTAAACGTTGCACGATGCATCTACATATGAAACGCTGCAATAAAATACCTTTGTACCTTCATGTACGTTTGATTTCTCTTTAACACGTTCGTTACCAGTGTCAATATTTGTTACGGCCGCAATCCTATATTTTATCTAAAAACAATGAAATTAATCTTACAGATATACTTAATTAAAGTTATAAGCTATGAAATTACATTTAGCGATTCAATGACTCGTTTTAGCTTCATTTGTTTCAACAGTTTGTTCAGATTTATCGATTCGAATAAAATATAATTTAGAGGATCAGCACTGAAACAAACGCTGGCAACGAACGTGTTTAGTTTGAAAAACTGTCTGTCAACAGAAATTATTGGATATTTCTAATGGAAAACTTTCAAAGATCACAAAGGGTTAATTTCAGCGAACAGCTACTAACTCGAACACCGAGATCCTGTACGTGTTTCCCCTGGGCGTGCTGGATGCTCTCGGCCAGGGTCTGCAGGGACCCGGTGGTCGCGTAATGCTCGACGAACAGTCTGTAGACGTGTTCCCTGAGCGGCCTGACCACCAGGCCCATCATTACTCCCTCCAAGATAGCGTCCAGGTTAAGAAACTCGTTCGGCTTCAGTTTCAGCCTTTCCTTTTCCACTTCCTTCTCGAACTCCCTCTCGCCGTGCTTCACCAGATAGTTCTTCATCCCGGACATGAACTGCCGCATGTTCCTCATGACCACGTGTGGGCTGGCCTCTTTGCCTTCCTTCGTGCACTGGATGAAATTGTCGATGTTCTGGGAGAAGGTGGTCGTCTTGTCCGCGGCCAGCTGGAGGGCGTACAATCTGATCGTGGACCCGGTGCCGCCATTGTCGCGGTTCTTGAGGGCTTGTAATCTTGGCGGAGCTGGAACGCAAGGAGAATGCAAGTCAGATGATGGATCTGGGAATCTTATTTTCTATTAACCCTTTGTGGTCATATTAATTGTACGCGTATGTATGAACGAGAGCAACGTAATGAAACGAAACATTAAAATATTAAAGTTACATTAAACTAAATTAAAATGATAAACGAAATGTATTATTTTCTTAAGACATTAGACAAATTTCATAGAATAATAAAGTTTCATTTAACATAAACTTTACTGTACACGCCTGGAACAGTGAGAGAGCTTCGGTGTTTGAGAAGACACACGACCTCAAAGGGTTAATACTAGAACTACCGAGCGGTTGAACTGACTTCAAATTTTTCTACAGAAATTCTAAGAATACAGTTATTGTAACTTCGATTGACTTATGATTCAGTTTGCCTACTGCTAAATCAATTTCATTATTACCTTTTATCTTTTTAATCATTGAGAAGAAGAACATAGGAATGGATCGATTTGATAGTCGTAGTGTCAATTGTTGTTTAAAATGATGAGTTTGTATAAGTATTTACAGGGTACTCGGTGCACAGGTTCGTTAGAGTGGATTTCAGACATGATTGCTAATTGGGTTTCAAGTATCCATTAACCATCACTTTCGGAAAGTCGAGTGCGCCGGTCAATGAGGTTTCAAGAATTCGATTACGATCTTTATCAACCTGATATCTGCGTAAACACGCCCGTGTACAGCCGGCTTATCTTATCAATGCTAAACTACTATTGTCGTACGGGATTCTAAAATAGCTGAAGTACGTTCAGGGGAAAAAATGTAGAAGTAGACGTCGTTATCTGTCCACGCGTCTTCTTTGATTTTCTTGCGCTATCTGGGGACATCCGTCCGATAATTCTTCGAGAAAATTCGAGGCCAGATCATTTGTGTCAAACGACACGCGAAAATGTCGACCGGAAGTTCCTCGAAACCAACGTTCAATCTTGGAATATTGGCCTGATGGTAGAGGATTAAACGATAAATCGATTACAATATCGGAAGATACGTAGTTTCGCGAGTCAGGTTATAGCTTACGTTTCAGGACTTCAACGCTCCGCTGAAGCCTCCTGCAGAAACACCGGAACCACTTTCCGATCTTCCGGAAGATGCCCCTCGTCTTCATAGAGAAGCTGTTTTGCTTGCCGCGCACCTCCAGCGAGCAATTAATCATCTTGAACCCGTTTTCTTCAATCTTTTCCTCCATATTAATACTTAAACGTAACCCAGTCTGCTTTTAAAATGTAATACTGTTTGAAAGCCTTGAAAGCCTTGAATCCACTTGAAATTCTTCAGAGGTTCGAGATAATTAACCAAAGATTCGGCTCACTGTTCTTTAAAATTAACGATCCTCCTAGAAACTAAACAGTCTTCGAACGTTTATTCCTCTCATCAGCGAGATCTTCCGAACTCTGCGTTTCTTGGCTCAATTATTAGTCTCCTAATCTTCCTCTCTTATTTAAATAGGATAAAGGATCAAAAATGACATTGCCAAGGATCTTCCAGGCTTCCAATCTCCCTGCTGCCAACAGATGCAAGTCTTTTTATTCCTCCAAGGAAATATCATCCAGAACGAAGTTCTCAATGGTCCTATCCAAGTACTAAAGCGAATCTCCTTATCAAAGTACAAATATTTCGCTGGAAGAGTGCTACTCGCAGGACTCTTCGAGCTGGCAGGGCTTATCTAATGAATTTCGCATACAATTATGGACCAGCTGACCTAGCCAAGACTCCCAGACGTCTGCGACCGGCGAGATGCCGCTTTATCTTAGCTATCATGGAACCTTTCAACCAGATAGACGACCCCTATCCCAACAAACTTTCTTCAATGAGGTCCAAGCAGCTTCTGATCCCCTATTCTCCGTAGCCACTACCTTCAAGCGCAACAGTGCGAGAGAGCATCGATCAAACGGTCCACAAATTTAACCGGACAACGTTTTCACAACTTCCTATCGACTGGAGTCGCTATCCGTGTCTGGTAACGGTCCAAGATATTCTAAGCCTCTCGATCGAAGCTCGATAAAGTTACTTCTACGACTCTACGGAAATTCCTCCCATCGGATCGCAAGATTCCAACCGATCCCCTATATCGCGTCAAGCGGAGAAGTCCCAGGAATTCTGTTCCTCTTCTAAATCTTTCGCCAGTAACAAACGCGGTCGGAACGCGGGAGTCGGGCAATAGTTCGATTAGCCGAGAACAAAGCTGCTGTTGTTGAGATTCAACTAGATTCCCGCGTGCGTTGATTCGCGTAAATCACGGTGCACTGTTTCTCGCGAACTTTCTCCTGCGTTCGTTCTTCATCGATGAAGTCACCGACGCTTGGTCTACTTCTTTGATCGATTTATCACTGTTTCTTCTGTTGGTCGGAGCAAAAAAAAAGAAGACCTTATCGTCGCTTGAGGACCGGAGCAGAGCTCTAGCTGTTCGGACGAGCGAGCTAGGCCCAAGAGAGGCCTCCGCGAGGCTGCACCGACGATGGACTGACTGACACTGAGGAATCGCCGCCGCTATCGGCAAAGGTAGCCGGAGAACGATTCCAACGAGCTCTCTGTCGCTCCTTCACGGCTTGCTGTCCCCAGACCAGGGAGGTATACGCTGATCGCGCGCGGTTGCAGTAAACGCTCGCATTTTGCGACCGGGGTTGGGGGATGGGACTTTCCTAACCCCCGGCCCAGGTCATTACCCTGGTGCTGGAGTGTCTGGGTTAGGGAGTGGAATTTTTCTGAACGCTGTCTCGCTACTCTTGGAGAATATTAACCCTTTGCACTCGATAATACTTCTCGTTATAAATATTCATTATTATATATGGTATTCTTTGCAGTTGATATAAACGAAAATCTTGCGTAAATTAAGGAACAGGAATGTTTTATATCGATATTCAATGTGTTACATTGTACAAAATCGTATCTGGTTTCACTCTTTTAAGCTTTGATAATGGTATTTTCATTTTCATCTTTTTTTCTTCTATCATTGTTTTATTGAAAACTGTACTTGAGGTTCTACTCGTTCTTAGTTTCAGCAAGTTGTTTGGATTTTTGTAATTTCAACCGTATCTTGATACTATTTTTGCATTAGAAGTTTGTTCTCCTGTCTTGCTAGGAATTTTGTTTCAGCTGTTCTCCTCACCTTTAACCTCACTTTTAATCATTTCTATTCGCATTTTCGAAGCATCGAACCTTTCTTTTCGATCCCATCTTCACGATGTTCAGAGCTTTGGACTTTCAACCCCTTTCTCCCTCCTTCGAGTTCGTGTTCTATCGCCCCCTCTTCGGTGTCGCGTTCAAAGACGAAGAGAATGGACGTCCCGATAAGAGAAAGAATAGCTCAGATAAAGAGTTCATCCGTACTTATCGTTCGCGCCACACAAAATACAAAGGCAATTTGTAATATGATGCTCTATATCTCGACGGATATCTTGTCGATACACGGACACGTGAACAGCCTGTGGAATGCGTGTCTCACGTTAAGATTAAAGTCGATGCACAGGGACTGCTAATCCACAGAAGATGGCCTTGATTCCCGGTTAATCCACTCACACACACGTACTAGTCGAACAATTTTTATCGACCTCCAATTTTACTGTTCGAAGTGTTTGAAAAACATTTCACCATGATATTCATGGTTCAAAATTATAAATTACGCTTATATAATAGTGGTTTGTATAATATCGAATGCAAATGCAAAGAATATAAAGTAAAGAAACATCGCTAACATCTGAAAATGTTCCTTTAGTTTCACATTAATAGAATTATTAAAATAAGAAATTAATTTTCATTTAATCCTTGTCACTTTCCATTGGTAAATTTTTATGATACTTATTATACGAATCACCATTGTTTCCTAACTGAAGACTAATCGTCTGGTTTAGTGTTTATTTAATATTATAACACATTATTAATATTGCATTATTGTTACTATTATTATACACATCTTACTTGTTAAAAACAAAGGTAATACGTATATTACGCAAGTACCATTTTTATTCGTAATTGCCATTAGATTCTAATTGCCGCTACCAAAGACGTTCATGGAATTTGAACGCGAAAGAAGTTCGTAATGATTTCAATATTATTAGTTCCCCTGTGCATTAATCTCGTTGATCGTAATTTACCCTTTAGGTAACATCGCGACGGCCATAAGAAACTATTTGGCCGACTCGTTACAAGTTCCATGGGGTTTCGTTTCGTAATGGATCGCCGGATTCGCCCATGAACACGACGACGAATGGGACACCCTATAAACCGAACGGTAATGGCCGGCTTTGCCAACAAATTGGAATAGTTTACGAGGCGTCCGTCGTTTGAATATCAAACTCTGTCTGTTGCATATTGTTGCCCCGGGGCGATCATCATCCCCGAAGTTTCGGCGCGGTTTCAAAAGGGGGCGAGTTATCGATGGGGATGAATTAAGGGTAAGCGAATCCGTGACTCTCGAGTGTTCCGCTTGAATTTACCGACCGCAGAAATGATTTTTCTAACGGTTACCATTTGTGCCGTTGTCACCATAGCTTCATATATAAGTTCTTCCTCAATTTTACGACGATATAAGATGTTATATTATTTCATCTTTAATACAGATATAATATAAATATAGATCATCTTTCATTATCTTACACATGAATTCAGTTTAACGAAGTTCAACCTAACCCTTTGCACTCGGCCATATTTTTTAACATTAAATCTTCATTATTTCCCGACGAAACGTTAATGGTACTTTTCGCGACTAACAGGAAGAAGTAATTTGCTTATATCAAGAAACAGAATTATCTTATCTCAATGGTCCATCCGTTGACACGTGACACAAAATTCAATATTGAATTGTATATCTCATCATTTTGTTGCACCGAATCAAATGGCGACTAAAAGATAAAGCGAACTTGTACTTTCTTAAATAAGTTCTGGTAAAATAGTTTTTCGTTGATGTAATGCCACGTGTAAGTAATTTAGTTCGTCCTTCTGTTATTGCTGAAGCTATTAGTTCAATTTTCAATCGAA